GCCAACGGACCCTTTGAAGTCCGCCTCGAGCCCCTCAGGCGGTGACAAGGGGAAAGGTGTCAGGTGGCTGAGTTAAGTGCTGCCCTTTGGAGAGACACCAGCTCTTCCCTCGGACTAACAGTGAGCCAGAAAGGGAATCCGGGGCAGTTTGGCTGGCGGATGGCACTGGCTCGGCAGATGGTTGGGGCTTTCACCTTCCCTTCTCTCTGCTAACCTGAGGACTCCCTGTGCTGTGTCCAGCTGACCAATAAACCCCATTGCTATAACAACGCTGTGTGTCACTGTGAACGCTTGTGGCATCAACCCCTGCTGAGTGGACACGTCTCTCCCAGGGTCTGGCTGAGCGGGCCTTGCTGGGCAGAGCTCACGGGGTGAAGCAGAAGGGCTGGGAGTGGATGACAGGGGATGGACACACAACAATTGCCCTGTTCTGTTCATTCCCTCTGGGGCACCTGGCACTAGCCACTGTGGGAAGACAGGATACTGGGCTAGATGGACATTGCTCTGACCCAGTCTGGCCGTTCTTGTGTTCCAAAGCTGGGGGCGTAGCGCTGATCCTGTCGGTCTGGGACAGGCAGACTTGGGGGGACCCAGGCAGGGTGCAGGACCCCCACTCTGTCAGCAGGGTGCCATAGGGGTGTTGGGGAGCCAGGCAGGGGGCCGGGTACATGGCCTGTGGGGTGGTTTCTGTGAGCGCAGGCCCTGGAGGGTCAGTCCCTGGTGTGGGTGGGGGGAGCCATTGCCTGCACCCTCTTTCTCCCCGTGACAGCTGAAGGAAGAAGGAGGGAGGAAGGAACAGCTGCCCCGACTCCTCCAGAGCAGGCTGGCTGGGGTGGGAGCACTGGGGGGCAGTGCCCTGGATCCCCCTCCTGAGGGGCGTGTCAGGCCACTCCAGCCTGCACCGCCCTCTGTCCCACAGACCCCCTGGTAACGGGGTGAACAGACGGGCTTAGGGTTACCATATTTCAGGTTCCCCAAGAAAGGCTACTGAGGGGGGGAAGTGGGGGGAGCTGTAGGGGTACTGGGGGGTATGAGAGGGGGTATACCTGTGGCCAAAACCTACTACGGGGCCCTCCCTTTGTAGGGCTTCCCTTGTGGGCACCCAGCTGGCAACACGTGACTTCCAGAGGTGTTCAGCTCCCCGCTAGCCTCCCCTTTCAGCCGAGTTGTGGGTGCTCAGCACCTCTGGAAAGGCCAGGCCGGGGTGTCTGATGTGGCACCGAGACACCCCAACCCCAGCCCAGGCGGCCCTGGCTGCACACAAGCCCAGTGGCTCTCTGGCGGGGCTGTCTGGGCACAGCCTGGCGCGGGGAGCTCGTAAACGGCGCTCGCCACCAGTGTCACTTCGGGCAGCCGTTCTCCGGGGCCAGGCGTGTGGCTGCTCGGCCTGGCTGGAAGGGGAGTCAGTGGGAACCCTGGCCCCAGTGAAGCCACTGGGAGCCATGGGGCCAGGATCTCAGACTGGCCTGAGCCATCCAGCTCTGCCCCCAACACAGCCCCTGGCCCCATGATGGAACCAGGCCTGGTTCCGCTGCCCGGCCCAGTGCTGAGTCCTCCAGCTGTCTGCCCTGTGGGGCCGGCTGGGTCCCCGGGCGGTTTGTTCTCCTCACCCCACTGCGACCCCTCCCCAGTCACTGATACTGACGCGCCCCTCGCCTGTGTCAGCCTGTCACGGCGTGTGGGGGAGTCAGGGCCCTGCACCCCCCACTTCCTGCGATTCCCCGGGACTCTCAGCCAGCCAGTGACACAGAAGGGTTATTAGACGACAGGAACACGGTCCAACACAGAGCTTGTAGGTACAGACAACAGGATCCCCTCAGTCAGGTCCCTCTTGGGGGGCAGGGAGCCCAGCCCCCAGCCCTAGGGCTCCCTCCATTTCCCCAGCCAGCTCCCAACTGAAACTCCCTCCAGCGTCTCCCTCAGCCTCCCTCCGGCTCCTCCCACAGCCTTTGTCCAGTTTCCCGGGCAGGTGTCACCTGGCCCCAGCCCCCTCCTGGCTCAGGTATGGTCCCTCCAGCGAAGTCACCCCCTGCTCTCCCATCCCCCATGCAGACAGTTCCAGCAAAACTAGACACATTCCCAGGTCAATCCGCCCCGCTCCCTGCTGCGTCACACAACCATTGACCCTGCGGTTTGCAAACACCCCCAAGGAGCCGTGGGCGGGGGGGGGGGGTCAGTCACAGCCCGACCAGCCAGGCCACAGGGGGCCCATGGGGGGTGGCAGGGCACATGGCCTGTGGGGTGAGGGCCGGGTGGACTCACAGGTTCGCACGGTGGCCGGGGTCCTGGGCGTGTGGGGGGGGTGCGGTTGGTGCCAGACTCCCCCAGCCAGCCCTTCAGCTGCCCCCTCCCCCCCGTGAGCGGCCAGTACCGGCTGACCGGCTACTTTCCCCTCGGGGGGCAGTGCCCCAGACCCTCGTGAGGGGGCATCAGGGCCGCTCTGGCCGGCAGAGCCCCCGTGTCCCACAGGCCCGGGCTGAGGTAATGGGGTGAACAGCCCAACCCCCTCCCGGCACCCTGCCCCCGACTGCCTCAGCCGCCCCTCCCCCGCTCCCCTCAGCCGCCCCGGAACCTTCCGGCCCAAATGCCAGGGAACCTTCTGGGCCCTGACGTGCCCCCCCCCCAACCAACTGCCATGGAACCTTTCAGGCCCCGACGTGCCCCCCCCAACCAACTGCCATGGAACCTTTCGGGCCCCGACGTGCCCCCCCCCAACCAACTGCCATGGAAACTTCCGGGCCCCGA